TGGTGAAACCCCGTCTCTACTAAAAATACAAAAATTAGCTGGGCATGGTAGCACTTGCCTATAATCCCAGCTATTTGGGAGACTGAGGCACAAGAATTGTGCTAAGATTGAGCTAAGATTGTGCCACTGCACTCCAGCCTGAGCAACCGAGCAAGACTCTGTCTAAAGAATAATAATAAAAAAAAAGTTTCAGTATTTTTATCTTCCCATCTTTTCAATGTTGGAAGATTTCTAAGAATTTTTTTTAATTTATTTTATTTATTTATTTATTTATTTTTGAGACAGAGTCTCACTCTGTCACCAGGACTGGAGTGCAGTAGCATGATCTTGGCTCACTGCAAGCTCCGCCTCCCTGATTCAAGTGATTCTCTTGCCTCAGCTTCCCAAGTAGCTGGGACTACAGGCGTGCGCCACCACGCCCAGCTAATTTTTGTATTTTTAGTAGAGATGGGGTTTCACCATGTTGGCCAGGATGGTCTCGATCTCTTGACCTCATGATCTGCCTGCCTTGGCCTCCCAATTAAATTTACTTTTTTTGAGACCAGGTCTCACTTTGTCACCTAGGCTGAGTAGAGTGGCATGATCATGGCTTACTGCAGCCTCAACTCCCCGGGCTCCAGTAATCCTCCCATCTCAGCCTCCAGAGTAGCTGGGACCACAGACATGCGCCACCACTCCCAGCTAATTTTTGTATTTTTTGTTGAGATGGGGTTTTGCCATGTTGCCCAGGCTAGTCTCAAATTCCTGAGCTCAAGCAATCCACCCTCCTCAGCCTCCCAAAGTGTTGGGATTACAGGTGTGAGCCACCATGCCTGGTCAAGAGTTTCAAATTTATGGCTGGGCACAGTGGCTCACGCCTATAATCCCAGCACTTTAGGAGGCCGAGGCGGGCAGATCATGAGGTCAGGAGATCGAGAACATCCTGGCTAACACAATGAAACCCTGTCTCTAATAAAAATACAAAAAAGTAGACAGGAGTGGTGGCAGGCGCCTGTAGTCCCAGCTACTCAGGAGGCTGAGGCAGGAGAATCAGTTGAACCCGGGAGGTGGAGGTTGCAGTAAGCCAAGATTGTGCCATTGTACTCCAGTCTGGGCAACAAGAGCGAAACTCTGTCTTAAAAAAAAAAAAAAAAAGACGGGAGAGGGGAAAGGTGGTGTAACTTCATGGGTCAGAGTGACCCACATTCCTTAGCTCTCCACAGCCATACATGCCTGATGTGGGTTGGGGGCAAAAGAAGCTGGGTACTTGCATAGTTGCTGGATCTCCTAATAAGATGAAGAAGCTGTACCTGTTATATGTCCTGCTTTGTATCCTTCTATAATGCTACATAAAGAGTAGATTGCAGCCTATTGAATCTGATTGCCACTTTGAATCTGCAACTAGAGATGTGCTGCTACAAATTTACTTCGTAATTTAAAACTGACTTTCTAAATTGTCAAGTTTCTAAAATTATAGCTAAAGCAACCAATAGTAAGCCCATATGCTCAACAATTTTACCTGGATGTTCTTTTATAATGATCCTCATATAACCAACTAGTCCATATGTCCTACAGATCAAAAGAGGAATCTGGGAATTCCAGAGGACATCTGCTAAGCGTAGTAAAGTGCTGTTAAAAAAAAAAAAAAAAAAAAAGCAAAATATGAACATAAGCAAATGGAAATATGCCAAACATGGAAACATGCAAAACATGAAAATGTCTTAAAATAAAGCAACTTTCTTACTAAATAATAAATGCAAAGGTACATAACTGCGTTTACATAAGCAGGTCAAGAATACACTGAAAAGCAAGCATTTCCATTGGTTGCAGTCTCAATGAAAGAAAGTACATCTTTTGGACAAGAGGGATGTGAAACCTTAGTCTGTCATATTAAGGAGAAACGTTAAAGAAAGATAATTCTAAACATTTCCATGACAGAGAAAAAATATAAAACCCACAAATACACCCCCAACAATTCCAATAACCAATTCTCTCTCTCTTTTTTTTTTTTTTAAGATAGGGTCTCACTCTGTTGCCCAGGCTGGAGTGCAGTGGCATGATCATGGCTCACTGCAGCCTTGACCTCCCGAGCTCAAGTGATTATCCCATCCCAGCCTTCTGAGTAGCTGGGACCACAGCATGCACACCATCTGGCTAAATTTTGTATTTTTTGTAGACACAAGGTTTTGCCATGTTGCCCAGGCTGGTCTTAAACTCCTGCGCTCAAGTGATCCGAACCTGTCTCAGCCTCCCAAACTGCTGGAATTACAGGCATGAGTCACTGCACCCAGCCTTCAATAATCAATTCTAACTAGTTTTTAATCACTAAAACAACAACAACAACAAAAAAAACAAAAAACAAAAAAAAAGTTCAGTTTAACTGCTCTAAATATATTCCAAAAGTTTCACATCTAAGACTGGGCTTGGTGGCTCCACGCCTGTAATCCCAGGACTTTGGGAGGCTGAGGCGGGCAGATCACTTGAGGCCAGGAGTTTGAGATCAGCCTGGCCAACATGG